TCCCCGTCGGCTTCCTGCTAAGGGCATCAGCCACTACATTAGCTTTTCCAGGATGATACTGGAGAGTGAAGTCGTAGTCTTCCATGTACTCCACCCATCTCCTTTGCCTGAGATTCAAGTCTTTCTGAGTAAACAAGTACTTCAGACTTTTATGGTCCGAAAAGACCTGAAACTTTGCTCCATAGAGATAACATCTCCATATTTTCAGAGCAAATATCACTGCTGCCAGCTCCAAATCATGAGTGGGGTAATTCTGTTCATGTGGCTTTAGTTGTCGGGATGCGTAAGCTACAACGCGTCCACCTTGCATCAACACACAGCCCAGCCCACTCCCCGAGGCGTCAGTATATACCTCATACAGCCCTTCACTGTCAGGAATAGTCAAGACTGGTGCACTTGTCAGTCTGACCTTCAATTCTTGAAAAGCACTTTCACATTCGGCGTTCCATTCGAATCTGACTTCCTTCCTCGTCAACCGAGTCATCGGTGCAGCGATGCTCGAGAAGTCCTTCACAAAACGCCGGTAATAGCCTGCCAGTCCGAGAAAACTGCGAATCTCCGCTACATTCTTCGGCCTTTCCCAATGTAGCACAGTCTCGATCTTAGAAGGATCGACAGAAATTCCATGTCCAGAAATCACATGCCCAAGGAACTTTACTTCTGTCAGCCAGAAGTCACACTTCTCCTTCTTAGCATACAATTGGTGTTCTCGAAGAGTCTGAAGAACAATTTTCAAATGTTGCGCATGTTCTTCCCAAGTCTTCAAGTAAACCAGTATGTCATCAATGAAGACGATCACGAACCGATCCAAGTACGATCGGAAAACACGGTTCATTAGATCCATGAATGCAGCCAGGGCATTCGTCAACCCAAACGGCATTACCAGAAACTCAAAGTGCCCGTACCGAGTTCTGAAAGCAGTCTTCGGAATGTCTTCCTCCTTGATTTTCAGCTGATGGTACCCAGATCTCAAATCAATCTTAGAGTAGAACTGTGATCCACCCAACTGATCGAACAATTCATCGATCCTCGGCAGTGGGTACTTATTCTTCACAGTCACCCTGTCCAATTGACAGTAGTCAATGCACAACCGAAGAGATCCGTCGTGCTTCTTCACAAATAGCACCGGTGCACCCCAAAGGGAAGTACTATTCTGGATATATCCCCTTTTTGCCAACTCCTCAAGTTGCGTTCTTAATTCTTTCATCTCCGCCGGAGCCATCCGGTAT